AAAACGTGCAAGCTGTCTTTTTGGAATCTCTAACCAGCATCCGTTCATTTATTTATCCAACTTTCAAAAAAAAGGTTGAGGATCTCAGCAGACTTTACCTTATAAAAATATCAAACTAAAAACTTGATTTTGCTTAATCTTTCCCCTGTAACTAAGCTTGTAGCAAATCTCACAGTTTGTGTGGCCGAAATGCCATCATTTGGAAGACACTTTACAGGCGCAAAAGAAAAAAAACAAGAGGAATTTCTTCCAATTTTGTGCTCTGGGAGAAGTTTTTGAAAAAAGCAGCTTAAACGATGGTTCTTATACTAACGCACATGAGAACTTGGTCGTAAAAGTAAAAATTGAATATTTTGATAACAGCTTATGATTTGTAGAAGTTGCTTAACCAACGATTTTGGATGGAATGAAATGAGAGTCGTCTCGTTGCCAGAGTCCAGCAAGCTCTGAGGCTTTGTAAGTTTGTTTCTCTGACCGATAAAGTAGAACAAACAAACTCTCCTTTTCCCTGATAGTTTTGCCAACTTTAAATGTAAAAAGATCGACCAAAACAATCGAGAAGATGCAGTGGCCTTGAGGGTGGCTTATGCAGAGCTCCGCACCACCCCAATTCAATTCAAAAGAATCAAAGATCCAATGTGCACCAGAAAGGAAGGTCCCATCTTTTCATTCCATAATCGGAATTAATGGGATTCATTAATCAAACTGGCCAAAATATTTTAACAAGTTTCCTGTCAGGGATGGGGTGGAGGTATTTGTGCCAAAATCAGCAACCTTCCTCCTCCGTGGGAATCAGTGACATCTGCCGGTCAGGATGTTGATGTTACTTGAATCATTATTAACTTAAATGTGAAATCATGCAAACACTTATAAAAAAAATTTAGATAGCAGTAGAAAAGTATTTGCTTTGAGCTTAACTGGCAACCACGATCGAAGTCGGTTTTAATTGCATGATTACTATACTCACGCCCGCAACTTCCTGCTCCTTCTGAATGGTTTGTCACCGCTGCAGTGAGGAGTCACAGGCAGCAATACTGACATGGTAGAATTTCAACTTCATCACCTCATTAGAAAGCCCATTCAGTAAGTTCGGAGGTAAATTAAGTTCTTAAATGGAATCCGAATCAAGGCACCTTTCCTATACCGCTATGACAGTGAGAAAACGACGAGAAACCTCTCCTTGTCAGCGCTATCATTAAAGCGTAAGAGAAGTATCCATCAACTACAGTGTCATGTAACCAGTGAAACACGCCAAAAAGATGATCTTGCCAATGCTTACTGCTTAACAGAGGAAAAGATGTACTGTTTCATGCTTCACTTTGTAATTCCCTATTAGTTTCTCGCAAGTCAGTGGGCTTGATGCAACATCGTAACTCGGCTTACTCTGAATAGACGAAAAAGATCACTTAACTAATTATATGCTGTCTTTGTGGAATATAATTAGTAGATATTCTTACCTCAAGCGAGTATTGTGGTTTTGATTTCCCCTCCGCTTCGGCCATTCCATCCTTGACGATTCCACTATACCACCAAATGCACACCGACACGGCATTCGCCCTGATTTTCTCTACCACCTCCGATTTCCGCCCTTTGGGTGGAGAAGGCTTGATACATATTGCGTAGCATGGGAAAACCTACAAACAATCCAACCGTTATGAAGGGGGTTCGGTGTTTGTCGCCTCCTCGAAAATTGATGGCGCTCACTCTGCGACTTGGTTGGTGCGTCGACTGACCGCTTTTAACCCACAAAGTCTACTCAAATAAGTGCAACTTATGCAAAAATTAAACAGGTTTGAGTAAAGTTTTATGGTTATATGAAAAAGCATTACATAAGGCAAATAAAACTATCCTTCTTTCTGACACCCAGCCATTGAAGTAGAGCAAATTGGAGGTAATAGCAGTGATTAAGATGCGCACATTTTTTATTTATCCTAACCGAAAATAGGTTTTAGTCCCTGTTAGTTATCTGCGTCACCTGCATGTGTTTTGGGGACTTTCAGTTCAATTCTTAAAGCTCTCAAATTACTCACAATGACTACCTGTTAATTGGGGTCTATCGGGCTCGTCACCGTCGGATGTTGTGTACTTTAGAAGATTCTTGCTTCAGTGTGGCCATTTGATGGAATGATTAGTCTTTTTACTGGTAAACGCTCCGCACAGAGTCATCTGGCAGATTTAAGAAGTAATGAAGGAACACTTCGCAGGTATATTAACACCCACGGAGGGTTGGGTTATTTTAATTTAAAGATAAAAAAGAAAAAGTCCTACAGGAAAACCCAAATTACCAAAATTAAATTAAAAGTATATTTTATGAATTCTTGGTAGAACAGTAATCATTTGATGAAGACGTTTTCTACCGTCCAATGTGTCCCACAATTATAAGTAACAGGATCTAAAATGGGGTTAGGGATATAGGAACCAAGACAACAAAGGTTGAGAAGATTTCGTCATCTTTGCCCCTGCGGTGGCCTCCAACTTAGGCCCTACGTCACGCTCAACGAAAAGACGTGATTAGGTCGGAGACTGGTTAACCAGTGGCTTGGGCAATGCCACGCCCCCAAATGACGTATCCTTTTGTTCCTTAAGCTTTAACGAAATTTTAAGACCGTTCCAAAACACCTAAAACGATATTTCAAAAGTCTTTTGTTCAAGATGAAACGTACTCAAAAAGATTGCCTTTAGTGAATAATTTCTTCTAAGTTATTTCAACTCCAGTAAAAAATTCAGTTTGTAACATAAATGGTTGGTACAGTACAGATTTATTAGCAAATTAAAAATAAATCGCAATGAGGATTTGGGCTCTTTATTGGCAATCCTCATATTTGTTCATTCTTTCGAGGGTGAAAAGTAGTTTTCTCTTTCCAAAAAAATTTAATTCAATCGGCCAATCAGAATCTATTCACAACAGAGTGGCCATGACCAAAAAGTATCAGGAATCGGTATCATTTGATCATATACTTATTTACTTGCTAGTATAACTTAGTTCTGCTTCCTCCATCCCAGAAAAGCCATCATTCGAGGCATAAAAGTGGACCATTTAAGATGCATGGCATGACTCGAACCTGCAGAGAATTGCCCAGCTAAGGGTATTTTAAAATTATTCCGAAGATCCAAAGGCCTTTTCAATTTGGAGATAACTTTGAAATCATACGTAATCGTAGTTATTCTCGGACATTTGAAAGTATCCGCAAAACCAGCGTCAGTCCATAAAAATTGCCGTCTTTTAAAAAATGAAACGAAGGCCATTCGCTGGACTGGCATCACAGGGAGACAAAGACTTCTAAATTTCATAATTTTGATGTTCACCGTTACCTTTGGTCATTTAATTTCAGAAAACATTAAAGTCAGTAAACAAACACCATTTCCTTTACTCCTGCGTACAGAGGGAAGATTCTCTGACCAATTTGCAGAGATTTAAGATATGTGTCATGTTTTTACAAACTAGGGAAGCTAGTTGGCATCCAAAGAAATGCCACTGCTTTCCATAACCAATCCTTCTTGTGGTCTTGATAATCAAGAAGTTGGAAGAAAGCCTTTATACGGTTATTTTAACAAAGGTGCGTGTGGAGTTTTCCTGTGTTTCCTACAATCCCACATCATTTGCTAGTCTCCTCTTTACTCCTCCTTACGTCAAATAGAAAAAAACTGATATCCAGATTGCCTCACCAGGAAATAAACTTTACTAAACCAATCAAAGAGTGGATTTTAAGCATGAGATATAGGACCAAGAGCGCTTTACATTGTCTAGCAGTGTATAAAGCAAGTCAAATATTCCGAATCTGAAAGTTTTGACTCTTACCTGGAAGACAAGCATTTTACTTGCATTCAGCTGATTATTTTTTGTCGCACTAAGTTGGTTGGTGTACATTACACCCAAAATAAAGGACAAACGGAATCACTTAAGAGAATGCTACTAATTCGCCACAAGTGGCGTAATTTTCCTGATTAATTTGAAGCATTCTACTTGCCCATTCTCCCACATAATCTTTGTTTTTCTCTTTTTTCCCCAGTACTGGGGGCAATGCCGATAAAGCTAATTGTCACACAAGCCAGAACCGTATAAAATCAGTGAAGTTCAGCTTCTTTTTCTCCTCTATCAAAGCAAGTACATGGCAGAAAATTAACAACCGATCTATTTTTATCTATTCCCCTGGAAAGATATCCCTCCGAATGCCTTGAAGGCAAAGGTATAGCAATTCCAGATTAGTTTGGATTAAGAAGCGGTTGTACTGACTTTTCACAGAATACCTGATGACTTCAGTAAGCTAATTAAGGAACGTATGCTAAGTGTAAGTGTTTTTCAGGCGTTTACAGATGAATTTCTTTAATAAAACATTGAAAAATTTTTATTGAGAAGGAAAACTAAGTGTTGAAACCGTGATGTATTCCTCGAGAATGGTCAGTAACATGCCAAAATCGTGATCGAATTCCAGCTGATGTCTCTTTTAGACTAATGAGAAAGATTTGGATTTTGATGACATCAGGGCTCATTTACAAGACTTGAGAGATTTGATTGAGGACTGTCAGTTCGAAGTCATTATATTTGTCTACCGAGAAATGTGGTAATTAATCGGGTTTAATAAGGCTTTACCTTATTGATATCAAAACCTACCGCGATTAGTAATTTTGGACGCTTCTGAGAATGCATTTTAGGTTTAATGAGGATAATGCCACCCAAATTGCGTCGTTAGGGGTAGGCTAATTTCTACTTGATGATATTTGAAAGATTTGGGCAATAATTCTAATAATGGGCTAACCGTGCACTTAGAGACCGAAAATAGACTTTTCTCCCTTATTCCTACTTGTAGAGCTTTCCACAAACAGGAGAGTTTTATCTCTACGTGGTACCATCAGCTATAGTTTCAAGAAAATGCTCAGTTCGAATTAAAAGATATCCTAAAGGCCACTAAGTTGTGGTCATATAATGGGCTTCATTTAGTGACCTGCGAGAATCGCTTAGCCAAAGAAATGTTCCTTAAACGAGAAAACACGAAAATCCTTTATACAGTAAACAACGACAGGTGAGCCATCATCGGAAGTTGTTTCCTCTCAAATCCTTCCTCCTGATCTGCGTATAGAAAGTAGATGATTTAGGAGTGAATTAGCCAAGCAGGAAGTACTCATGAGTCGCCCCGTATAAACCTTTTTTCACGAGCAATATAAGGTGGAACTGATGTTTGCTTTGGATGGTGAGTGGGTGTGGCCACTACAGACTCACACAGGAGCAGAAAATCTCGCACCACAAACGCATTTTGTCACATATGACAGAGGAGAAATCACACCTGCAGCAAAAAAGTCACACGTCTATGTGACAACGCCTTCCGACTACATTGTGACCCAAGGTCTGTTTGGACCGAGGTAAACGGAATGATTGCAAGCATTTAAATGCATTTCAAGTCAGAAAGAAGCAAACTAAGGCAAAATAATTAAGGAATATTCGAGTCTTTTGCTTAACAATTCGCAACATAATTAAATAAACTTGGAAGATTTAATTGCCAGAATTG